CTCCAAAATAGGCCCACGTACCGTTGATTTGATGCAGAGGATGAAGAATTTTGACAAATTTAACTTTCATATTGTAAGTCTCAAGGGATTAAACCACTCTCAAATGACCGTTAGTGACTTTAAGAAAACCAGCCGCAGAAAATAAGCTTCTATATTTAAGGCTAATCAATGGAGTTATCTCCCTTTCTTTCAAGTCCGCTGTTCTGCAAAAAATAAAATTAACTATCATAAAATTTAATATTTGAAAAATTAATTCGACTCAGAGATACTGAAAATTTCACCTAACAGATGCATCGGCGCTTTAGCGGATTGGTAGGATAATAGCATAATTTTCGGCGTTGATTAAACATGCATTATGCAAGAGGTAAATCTGCCTATTGCAGGTCTTTCTTTAGGCCTGAAATGTTATCTAAATTATTAATTAGACATTAATTAACTTATCCAGACCATAATCAACTCTTAATGCCATCTTATCTGTCTAATCTTCCATAATGTATCTTTAAATTAGAGGGTGTATAAAATGTGAGATAAATTTACCACGCGATCACTGGGATACATGTATATCATTTTGAAACTACAGTAACTCAGGTTTTTGTAACATCCCAGTAACACTTACTTTGCTCATTTGTTATGGCTACAAGTAGGGATGTGGTTTGAAATCTCCACAAGAGTTTTCTCGATCCCAGCATGGATTCGAAATCAATCGTAAAATTCTCTCATAATTAATGACCTCACACTGGACAAACGGTTTCTAGGATTCTTTAAATCACAGCAACACACCACCATTAATGGCCCAGCGAAATGAAATGAATGAAGTTTGTGCTAATGAAGACGGACATAAGTCATACAGTGCAGTGTAAATGATATTTTGCACTGCGGCCTACTCTCATTTTTTTTTACGTGCACGTATCATACGTTCTCCCTTGCCAGACCCTCTTTCCTGCACAACTGACAAGCGGAAACCACGTGGGAAAATCCCGATTTTCTCGGCCAACATCGGGATTGAACACGGGGCCTCCAGGTTAGCGAGCCAACGTCTTACTCATTGAGTCACCGTGGAATCCAAGACCCATCGAACCATTTTTGTGAAAAGTGTACTAGTTTAATATAATGACTGTTGCTATTATGTAACTAACTACATCCACATATAAAATAAACCCTCGCGACAAATGGTTGGGCTTATATGAACAAGAGAGTAAAATTATTATCTCTTTATTTCTCTCAGATGGCCACAGATCACTAAAGATTTCCCCATTGACTCCAATGTTAATTCTCGTATCTTAGACCGGCTCTAACTTTTTCCCAAATTTTCGTTGGGTAGAACGCTTTCTACCACAGATGGAGGAACATGTGGCAACCACTTGCCCAAAAGCACGTATGAGGTTCTTCATGAAAAACTTGAGATACACAAGCTGGAAGTAGAGACAATAAAACATGCAATTTCAGGCCCTACATTTCAACCTAACCAACCTCTCAACTCTTGTATCCTTCCGCATCAAAATTATGAATATTCACCAAAACCTGGCAGAAAATGTATTTTCAAACCCTTTTCCTCGATTCTACACCAAAAAGTCAACAAAAATCGCCATGCAAAAGGGGGAAAAAGGAAAAGGGAGAGGAAGACTAAAAATAGCTTTGGCCCTTGTGTCCAGATACATATTATCGGTGAAGTGGAATCTGCAGAAACCAATGTAAACTTTAATTAATCATAACGTAAGTTATAGAATTGATCGTTATTAATATAATTTCTAAAAGTATTTTGAACTGTGTATGGTCTTAAAGGCTCAATACCACTCTTGTTGTAACTGAATAATATGTCCCAATCTTTATTCTGGTCAACAAATTCTACTACTTTACAATATTCCAATTAATTGATGATACAAATTTCATCTTAACACACCTAATTTAAAAAATTGGAAAAATTCAACTAAATGATGAAAAGACTGACGTAAAGCTTTTCAAATGTGACTTGGATTTAAAAATATTTTTGAAACCTCTGGACAAATAAAATAGGATTTAATGGATAATTTATACAACAGGAAGGACACTTAAACATATAGTACTTAGAATAAGGCTATTTTTTTTATTTTCTGGAGCTGTCAAGCCAGCAAGAGTGTCATTGTCCCTTTAAATGGTCTTAAACCCTATATTTAATCATATAAGGCGATGTTGGAGCTTTAATGATTACAGAACAACACTAATAATAACTTCATGACAGACATGTTTTAATAAACTAGGGGGTGGGCAACATTTATTAGTTACACATTTAGGCATCGCTTCCTACGAACAATGATAACATTGAACACGTGGCCCTGGTATGGACAAGATCTTATCAGATTTTAGTTATTCCATCTTTAAGTTGGGAGAAAACCTGTCACATATATCTGTCGTTAAACCTAATACAACCCTTATTATCATACTATAGTAAAAAAAACATTTTAAAAAAAAGGTGTGTGGGGGGGGGGCGACAAAGGAGGACAAATTAAAATTAAGAGGCCACAATTTTACTGCTTCTAGGATTAATTAAAACCAGTAAAATAAAGCCTGAAACGTGAGGATTAACCAATCAGATCTGAATACAAACATAAAACAAATGGTTGCGAGCTATGTGGATCTCTCAAAATGGTATACGTGTTCTTAAAAGAATGCTAATAACTATGAACGAATGAATAAAATTGAGTAGGACGTTAAACCCCATTTCATTTCATTTCATGAATGAATGAAGCTGGGTTTAACGTCCTACGTTTTTGCTCCCACCGAGATAATGAAGACGGGCAATGTATTTTACCCGCACAGCAATTGAATTCCAACTGACAAGCGTTCTTTTACGTGCAGACCAAGGTTCACACGGGACCTCGGTTTTTCGTCCCATCTCAATGACTAGCTAGCGGGGTCCCTTGTCGAGCCCTCCGGCCTGCAGCGTTAACAAGGGGAAACCATACTCGTGACAGGCAGAGTTATACCTATCGATAAAGCCATGTTGAGGACCACAAAACTTTTGAAATACTGATATTATACCATAATATAAAAACAATATAATTTGCTAAATTTATTAGTAAAATAGTGACCGCTGACACCGCGTTAGATGAGTGACCATTGATTAAATAGATGGAACAATAAAATTTTCTCGTGGGGAATTTCTCGTGACCGCTTACAAGGAGATGTCGCTGAATAGGAGTGGCTGCTCGTACAGATTCTACTGTACTGTCTAACACAGATAGGAAAAGTTGTCAAGCATGTATAATAATAATTACTTTAGTAACGGATTGTTATCGGACCCTGTCCTTTATCCATTACTGCCTCATCCTATACACAACCAATATGAAAATAAGTCTTTTCCCCCACCGAGGTTCTAAGGTTATTTTGGAATCCTTATCGTCAATTTTTCACCGTAATTCGTCTTTGTTTGCCAAAAGGAATCATTTTTTGCCATATCCGACACAAATTTATAATCGCGTGAATCGAATCTCATAATGGTGGACCAATTCAAATGAATCTTATTTGTGTTTTTGAATCTCTAAATTCTACATGGAAATAGTATTAGATTATCATAAATTTATGTCGGATGTGGCAAGAAATGATTCCCTTTGGCGAACAAAGAAGAATCGCGGTGAAAAACAGACGGTATAGAGCTTTCAAAATAGCCTTAGAACCGAGGTGGAAAAAAAGACTTGTTTTCATATTAGTTGTGTATAGGATGAGGAAGTAAAGCCTTGTCTGCGAAATCACCTCGGTGGAAGCGGACGTTAAATAAAGCTATTCCACACACAGGCAGTAACGGAAAGAGGCCAGAGCCGATAGAATCCGTTACTAAAGTAACTATAGTCTGATCATAATAGTACGTTACAGGGGTATCTTCCTGCTCAAAAACGGAAAAGTTACAAGAAAATCTAAATCGGCACACATAACGAATATTCGCACACAAATAGAATTCGTGTATAGCAAACAGGAAACAATGGTCTATTTACAAACTGATTTGACAAAACTTTCGAATTATATTCTTGGCTTTTTATCCACAGTATTTGTATTTGCATACACCAAATAGATTGATAACCATGAAATGAAATGAAATGGGGTTTAATTTCCCACTGTTCAGCTCCGAACTGGGCTAATGAAGACGGGAATACACCATACAGTGTGCTATGAGGGACATTTTGCCCGGACAGCGGTAATACACTCTTATTTCGAATTCCAACTGTCAAGGGATCTTTTACGTTCACACCTCGTTTTTTGTCTCATCCGAACGACCAGATCTGATACTTATACCAATGTGATCTCTGCCTGTGGTACCTGTTTTATTTGATTTCGAAAAGTAAACGGAAGAATCTGGAAATTTGTTAATGTATCCGAACTCTATCATTCCCACTTCATTTAGTAGGTATCGGTGTATCTCTCCATTTCACAAGACAATTCTGTAATGGCGTGATTATACTATTAATTAATGCGGAATTATTGTAAAGGACCTGATTTGAGATTTCTTGATTCGGAAAAGATTATATTTGACCAATCAATTAACAGGTAACTAATAAGGAAATGGTTAGATATTCCTGTAGTGTAGGCAGAGCTAAAACAGAAAGCGAAACGAAAAGATTAATTTATTAGGTGCAGGATCACACAACAATAGTCAGCTTAATGCCGGAAACTGGTAAATCAAACACACGGATTTATACGTTATGCGGACACGAACTTAACGAATATACGTGAAGGGTAAACTATCCTAATAAACAGTGTGATGTAACCACGTGTGTTGACATTCAATTTCTCTTAAACAATGATTCAATTATAGACTTACAATAGCACGAGATTACCCCTGTCGTCTGATAATCGGGGTTATATTTATTAGACTTTTCACGTCTGATTATAAACCGCTATTTACCTGAAATCGCCACGTGATTATTTGATGAAGGGTTGTGAGCGCGTGTAGGGCGCGAGAAAGCATACTAAATAATTCTATGTGTAGTGTACGTATATAGGCCATAGATCTATAGTCGGGCTAAAACATTGAGATATCAATACGAAACTAAAAATCGCATATTTTTATAATCACTCTCTTTCCATATGGACAGCATTATTATTCCTGTTAATCCGATAATTGACGTCAAAACTTTCTCCGATACTATTAACCAATAACGAATCACAACCCGGGATTTTTCTTCCAATTAGAACTCAATGATTGTGTGCTGACGCTGGCTACTAGCAGACGACAATCTGAATACATGTACTGCCAAGCGAGACAGCTGTCAAAATGTCGACGAACTCTAAAGTGCTGCAGTTCTATTTTCTTGGAATATTTCTTGGATTAAAAGGGAACAACACAAACTTGTAGGCTAAAAATGGCAAGTTCAAGTGCGTGGACATTTGTTATTGTGTGTTTTTGTTTATTTATTGTTTGTCAGCGTGGTATTTTGTGTTTAAAGAATCGATATATTACTGAAGATGAAGATGACAATTTGCAGATAGATGATTATTCTAATCTAAGTACAAATGAGGAAGTGGTAAGTCTTTTTTAATTGAGTTTTGTATATTCGTGAATCAGATATTTAATCTTAAACTTGTAAAACGAGTTTGATATTATGCGTCGAAAACATTGGATTTTATATGTTGACTTGATTTGTGGACAACCTGTTTTTGTTTCGAATTGTACGTCTCTATAGATGAAGTAAATGTTCCGATATTGCTGATATTGTGTTTAGCTGTCAATACAGTAAACCAAAACATTAAACGGATATTAGTAAAAAAAAATAGCGACTTTTTCTTAATCTTTCGAAAGAAAACAACAATAATCCAATAGAAAATGTTAAATCACTAACACACCAGATCAATCAAATTAAATACTGATTATTTCCCAGAATGTTATCAGCTGTATTCCTTTATCGTTTTTCCGTCTCTTCATTTCTTGTGCAGTTGTTTTATCTAAGTTACATAAATACCAACATTCAATGGGATGACTTATTTGCGGGTGCTTTATTTTTAAAGAAAGACAAAGCTGCGTCAAAAATATGTACTGTTTTGCTTTAAGGATTGTTAACATTATACAATTAAGCAGAATTGTTATTACTTTGTTTATCTAAGACGTACATATGATGATAACGGTGTCAAATAGAAGCCAATGTATACTTTAAATGGTCATAACTTTGACTAAGTTAGAACCGATCCATTTGAATATTATTTTTGGACCAGAATTATGTTTGCTTGTTTATGGTGTTAAACGAATTGGACTTATATTCTGCGATCATAAAGCCTGTTGTTAAAGGCTAGATCCTGGGGTTTGTCGCCAACCTACCGTTGTGTTTTTTTTTTGTGGATAATCCGGTTTCCTCATACTTCTAAAGTACACAGGGCCCGTGAGAGGGGGCAGGGCCAGCTGGGACACTTTTCCGTGGCCCGGAGCCTGGGGGTAGGCGGGTGGTGGGGGCGGAGTAATGCTTTTTTTTTAAAATAATGTTGGTATAACTTTAAAAAGATAAGTACACTGTTACTTGATCGTAAAGTAAAAGAATGTGAGTACTTAGCGGCGTGTGTAGGATTAGAATCGGATTCTGTCAGAACATTTTTTTTCTCCTAAAATAGGTGAATTAAAAACTATAGGCTATCTGCCCGGGCCGTCGGGCCCCAGCTCGTCCTTGTTCCGTGCGGGACTTTCGTTCAGAACATTTTTTTTTCTCGTAAAATAGGTTGATCGTAAAGTAAAAGAATGTGAGTACTTAGCGGCGTGTGTAGGATTAGAATCGGATTCTGTCAGAACATTTTTTTTCTCCTAAAATAGGTGAATTAAAAACTATAGGCTATCTGCCCGGGCCGTCGGGCCCCAGCTCGTCCTTGTTCCGTGCGGGACTTTCGTTCAGAACATTTTTTTCTCTCGTAAAATAGGTGAACCTGCCCGGGCCTTCGAGCCCCAGATCGTCTTTGTTCCATTTGGGGTTCTCTGTACCGTCAGGGTATCCAGCCCCGGCAGGTAATCGGGACTTAGCCCGGGCCTGTAGTACATGCATTTGGTATGTCATAATTGTTTGTTGTGTTAAATCTCAGTGTATTAGCAAAGTGATCCCCAGTTACCCCAGAAAATGACAAAATGACGCTAGAGACCTCTATCTTTCAAACATTTTCGAACCCAGGGGAAGAGAACCTACCCAGACCTACCCCTCCCATCTCCTAGCTGCAAGCGTATTATCAACTAAAATTATACCACGTGATGGTCCTGTAATGACCTGGTTAGTGTCGAGTGCAACTTACAATTATTTAGTCTATGGAGAGATAGGGAGAAATGGGGTGTAACGTCCACTCGACACAAACTAGGTCATTTCGGGACTATCATATGGTTCAATTTCATTCTTATAATTCGCTTGCGCGTAGGGGCCCTTAGCAGTGGGAGGAAACCGGAGGACCCGGAGAAAACCCACGAGGTTGGACAGGCGACCCAACTCCCTGTCACGTACAATCGGGGAATCGAAACCACGCCAGTTGATACAACGCGCACACGCTGACCATTTAGCCATCCACCCCCCCCCCCTTAATCCATTGGTAAATATATAAAACTGATCATTCATAGACATTAAGGAAACACGCTCCGCCGAAGTTCATAAAATTGTGGAGATGTTGTAGTAATGTATATAGGGGATCACGTGGCTAAGTGGGTAAGACGCTAGCTCGCTAGCCTGGAGGTCGGGTGTTCGATCCCTGCATTGGCCGAGAAAGTTCATCCAGATTTTCCGGCGTTTTTTCTCCCTTGTCAGTGATGCAGGACGGAGGGGCTGACAAGGAAAGCTGTCTAGTCGTTCGGATGGGACGAAAAACCGAGGTCCCGTGTACACATTGGCGTGCACGTAAAAGATCCCTTGGCAGTTGGAATTTGATATAAGAGTAGGCCGTAGTGCCGCTGTCCGGGCAAAATTTCCCTCATAGCACACTGTATGGCGTATGCCCGTCTTCATTAGCCCAGGTTAGGAGCATAACAGTAGGACGTTAAACTCCATTTCATTTCATTTCATTTCATTTCAGTAATGTATATAAAGTATAATTGTGTATATTTATTCCTGTGAATATAGTATGATATCGTTGGCCAGTGTTTGGTTTCGGTATGTGCAACTAAGACATATTAATCATCTATAAATAATAATAACATGTAAATAATATTCTATGTGAGCCTGGCATTTTTATAATTCTGTAAAACACATCAGCTTTTGAAAAGTTATCAACCTTTTCTGCGATTGAAATGAATTGTGTTACCGAGACTCTTTCTGGGTTGACGATTGCATAGTTGCTACCGGTAGGAATGCATTACTTACACTGTCCGTAAGGGGCAATTGCTGTATGTGACGAAGTATGGTGAGTGTGTGTGTGCGTGTGTGTGTGGAGGGGGGGGGGGGGTCTATTTTTGTCTTTAAAAAACGGTAAAATGGTATAATAATGATCTGCAAAAAAAAAACACACAAAGGATGGATTTATCGTTTAAGTATCAGTATAATCAAAGAAATAAATATTAACATTCGTTGTTATAAAAGCCATCGATCAATTTGACCCGATCTGTCCAGTGTGCGTCTATGACACTTAAGGTGGTCATGCTCTCCAAGGATATTTCCAATTAACTTCCGCTTTTGAAATCATCGTTCACACTATATCTGCAATTGAGGTATACAGATTTATGTTGGATCAAAAATGAAATTATCGATTTAACTTGATTTTAATGATTGTTTTGTAAATTGACAATCTGTCTTAGTTAAAAATTTACGTCTTTGGACAAAGCCAGTGTTGAGATATGGCCGATTTTGTGTTTTACTGTCGACATAGCTAGCCATTTATGGAACTTCCACTTTATCTTACGCAACGACAATTTAATCGCAAAGTGCTTACTATCAACCCTTTTCAACCCGTTATTTTGATCAAAGTCGAAAAGGTTTTGCTCCTTTCAAACATTTTAAAGTTCTTTTCATTTAGTTGAATTCAAAATGATGTTAAGGTCATGGTGTCATGTAATGAACATTAGCATAGTCCATGTCATCAACAATGTGCTAAAAGGAGACTCCATCTCTTTGATTTTGTTTTAAAAGGATACGCTAATTTTGTGTTCACAATTCGATAACTTAAAAATACCGTAGCATTTTGAAGGTTTCGATGAGGGGTAAACATTATATTTTTCAATTTGGTGTCCCTTGATTCTATAATATCATCAGGATGTTCAAACACGCATATTTGGAAACAAATCTTCCAAGATATTTGGAAATATAGACAAATGTCTGTAATTATCAAGGATATCAATCAGTGCATGGATTTTCGATAATTAGGCGAGTAATATATATTTATTCAAAATAGGATATCTTATAACGGTAAATAAATTTATTTACTTTGTATGCGAGCTAATGTTTCTTTAAGTAAACAAAAAACACGCTTGAATTAGCGAAAATTCTTTTGCACAGAGCTTGCCCTATCATTTCTTGCAGTAACCCATTTCAACACTTTATTTTGACCTAAATCAATGATGCTCCTCTTATTTAAGTAATAAATGGCTGTTAAATCGTATTTATAAAAAAGACATTGGTTATCTCACATGCTATTAATGAATAATAATGATAACTTTAGATGTAACATATCGTAATGTCTAATAAATGTTTCATCACCAGATATATAAAATTTTAAACTGATATGTAATATTTTTTTAGTATCTATTTAGTCCTAAGAACTTCCGGAACGTTGAAAATGGTGTCCAGTTGTTAGGACTGTACGGACGCTTGGGTTGGTGTAACTGAAAACGAAAATATAATTAGTTTTGGCTTAAAGATGGGTTCCCAGAAAAGTATTTATCGGGTGGTTATTTCCAATAAAAGTATGGTAATTTTGGTATATATGGAAAGTGAGATATCCAATCTTACTAGAAAAATACTGGATTCCCCGAAAAACACTCATGGAGCGTATACAGGACAAAAATGTAAGGGTTCCCCTAATCGACAGCCCGACGATTAGGAATTTCTGCACGCGTGTGTCAAAGGTCACACGCGAAAATTGCGCGCTTGATGTACAAGTTGATAAACTTTATGAAGAGTTAGACGTACAACATATTCTGAGATAAAAATGACGGAAAAAAACCGCGGGTAGTGGATAATCCGAGAATTTAATTAGGATTCGATATTTGTAATAAATAGTAAGCGATTAAAAACAACATCGACTTATGTATGCAATGAATTCTCCTCTGACTTCCAAGAGAGGTAAGTCACGTGACGTAAACATGACCTGGTTTGATCGAATTTTTATAACAGGGCATTCCTTCGCAATTACAATGTTTGAGAAGGATTTGAAGCAAAGTTAGGACAAATTAATTAGTTTGAATATGTTTTTAGTCCATATATACCATTAAATCACCCAGTTTGTGCGCGGGAATGTATCTTTAATGACATTAAATTAAATGAGAATTTAACGTATAGAGCTTGTCACAATACTAATCATACAGAGCTTGTCACATTACTGGGTGGGGGGGGGCAAATGGTTAACGCGTGCGCGTTGC